AGTTTCACTGTTGTCCAGGCTGGAGTGCAATGGCACCATCTCAGCTCACTGCAACCTTCACCTCCTGGGTTCAAGTGATGCTCCTGCCTCAGCCTCCCAAGTAGCTGTGATTACAGGCGACTGCCACCACACCCAGCTAATTTTTTTTTGTATTTTTAGTAGAGAGGTTTTCTCCCTGTTGGTCATGCTGGTCTCAAACTCCCGATCTCAGATGATCCACCCAACTCCATCTCCCAAAGTGCTGGGATTACAGGTGTGAGCTACCGTTCCTGGCCTCACAGCTTACTCTCTTTACAACAGAAGCCATCCTCTCTGTCTGCTTGGGTCCCAGCCCCTTTTTCTGATTCATTCATTAGTCCATCCAAACCATTTGAATATTTCATGGCAACATTACTGTCTGTCCATCACTTTCTTTGAGGAACCTTAATTTGGCAGTCTGTCCCAGGCTCTGTCTTCTCCCTTCTTCTGTTAATTACTCTTTCACTAATTAATTTTTTCCCAGTGTGTTTGACCCAATGGGCTCCCCTGAAATCCCTTTTCCCTCAGCTTTGCAAAGGGTAGGAGAGGGAGAATGTAAGTGTAAGGCAGAAAAAATGTGATGTGGGTAGAACTTGTTCTGAGAGAGAAGGCTCCATAAAAGCAAAGGGCTAAGTGTGTTTCTTGTTCACTTCAATGTAGTGGAGGTCATGGCAGGAGAGTACCAGGAAAGACACTCCCATCCCTGTAGCACGCCTACCTCCTGCTCACTCACCTCCTTCTCACACTACAGTCAGAGGCTTCTGTTTCTCAGACAATCCGATTCCATTCCTTACACACCTCTCTTTCCCAGTCCCCATCAAGCACACTTTTCAGCCCTTTGGGTAAAGTGTATATTGCTTGAGTCCCTCCCCTGCCCATGTGTGTACCTCTCTCATACCTCCGACCCTTGCACAGCTCTTTCTTTGCGCACTCCCATTTTGCACAAGCTTCTCCCTCCCTGGTACACCTGCGTCCTTTGACCACTCACCTTCCATGCTCACTCGCTCATCCCCCACCCCCAGACACACACCTAGTCTACTCGTGTGCACACTCCCCTTCCTTGGCCACTCCCCTTTCTCCACCCTCCCCGGGCTCTCACACTTGCCCCCGCCCCTGGGGACACCTGCTCTGGCGGGGCAGGGCGGGGATGCGCAGCCGCGGCCCCTTCTCCTCTCCCCCTCCCCGTCCCGCCCCTCCCTCCATCTTTCACCCGCTTCCCGGCTCCCGCCCCGCCCGCCCGCCGCTCCGGGGGGGTCTCCGCCGCCGCCGCCGCCGGAAGGAGCCGCCATTTGCCACCGCCAAGCGCACGGGCAGAGCCGAGCCTGATCCCCGAGCCGGAGCGAGACTGGAACCGGGAGTACGGCCATGGGGGGCGGCCCCGCCGCAGGAGGACCTGGGCGCGTAACCCCGGGGGCCCGGCCCGCTCCGGACCCAGACCTGCGGGGCGCGGCACCCTGAGTCCCTCTCCCCGCCCCCTGCCCCGGCCATGGCCGCCCACCCCCCCGCCCCCGGGCCGCCAGCCCGCTCGGCTCCACAAGCCCCAGAGCCCCGGCGGTGGCAGCAGTGAACGGCGGTCGCAGGCCCCGAAGACCCCGGCCCGGCTCGGCTCTCCAGCGCGAGCCCCCTTCCCAGCCTTGTCCTCTCCCTTCCCCCCGCCGCCAGCGAGCCCCCCTTGCACGCCGCCCCCCGCCCCCGGCGCCCGGACGATGCTCAAGTCTCGGCTCCGCATGTTCCTGAACGAGCTGAAGCTGCTGGTGCTGACGGGCGGGGGGCGGCCCCGGGCCGAGCCGCAGCCCCGGGGGGGCGGGGGAGGCGGCTGCGGCTGGGCGCCCTTCGCCGGCTGCTCCACCCGGGACGGTGACGGCGACGAGGAGGAGTACTACGGGTCGGAGCCGCGGGCCCGGGGCCTGGCCGGCGACAAGGAGCCGCGGGCCGGACCCCTGCCGCCGCCCGCGCCGCCGCTGCCGCCCCCGGGCGCGCTGGACGCCCTGTCTCTCAGTAGCAGCCTGGACAGTGGACTCCGAACCCCCCAGTGCCGGATCTGCTTCCAGGGCCCGGAGCAGGTCAGGCCTGGGCACCTGGCCCGGCGCGGAGGGGTGGGGGCGCGCACCTGGGGGTGTCCGCGGGGCCCGCGAGCAGGGGCGGGGCCTGAGGAGGCTGGGCGGGTTCCCAGGACCCGGAATGGGTTTGGGGTGAGGCCAAGGGGCTGGCAGGGGACTCCTTGAGCGCTTGTTTGTGTTGGGGGGTCTAGGGTCCCTAGGAAGGGGTGGGGCTTTCTCTCCGGAGAGCGCAAAATCCCTTTCACAATTAAGAGGGATTGCTGTTTTCTCCTGTTTCCCTTGCCCCAGGGTCTCCGTAAGCTGAGGGGACCTGTTCTCTTGCAGGTGGGCAGAAAGGAGAGTGCTTCTGTGCCCACCTTGAAGGGAGGGCCGGCCAGCGCCCTTGTTTCGCTCAGCATTCCTCCCGGTGGGGCACTTTTCTTCAGTTCCCATTCTGCAACTTTCTATCTCATTCCAAAGAGTATTCTTTGTTAAAATTTTATGGGCAAAGTTGTCCCAGAATAGTGGCAGGGGGTGTCTCTGTGTAGTGAGAACTGATTCCTTGATTAAAAGGAAACACCCTGCACTCCCATCTCCGCGATTGCTCCCCTTTTTAATACATGGAAACCGAGGACTGTAACCCATCCCAGTCTGCACCAGATCTGTGAAGTAACTTCACAATGATGAAGTGGGGCAAGGAAGGCATGGCTCAGAAGCTCTAACCCTCCTCTCCCTCCAGATCCTAAGAGGAAGCCTTTCCTTTGAGAAGTCTTAAAGACTACCCATCCAAAATTCTAGGAAAAGAGAAGACCCGGTTCCCCTCGTCCTCCCATCTAATCCCGTCATCCCTTTCCATCCCTCATCTCTTTGGTATGGGAAGTTTCCCTTGATCTCTAAGGGAAACTTCTTTTCTGTTGCAGCCTTAGTTAGCCTCTTTCCCTGTCTTGGGTGAAAGGCCTGAGTTTTTTAATGTGGGAAAGTGACCTGAAGAGGAGACTTCCCTGTGGAGGGACGCGGCTTGAGTGGGGTCGGGGTGGTGATGCCTGACAGGACCCTTCCTCACTCTTCCTCCAGGGGGAGCTCTTGAGCCCCTGCCGCTGCGACGGCTCCGTGCGCTGCACGCACCAGCCCTGCCTCATCCGCTGGATCAGTGAGAGGGGCTCTTGGAGCTGTGAGCTCTGCTACTTCAAGTACCAGGTCCTAGCGATCAGCACCAAGAACCCACTGCAGGTGAGGTGCAAGGAGAGGACTCAGAGACTGGGCGAGGACCTTTTAGCTATTGGAATCAGGGAACCTCCAGGGAACCTATTTCATTTACTCTTTTCCCAAAGCCACACTTCCTTCCCCACCATTACCACAGTCTCTTGTGTGTCTGTAAATCCTTCCTCCCTTCATTTATTCACAAAGACATTTATTGGGTGCCACTTATAGAAGTAGGAAGTATAGAAGAAGTATGAAGTGTTGGGGACAACCACCACTCCCCAACCACTACAAAAAAAAAAAAAAAAGAAAGAAAGAAAGAAAAAAAAAAGAAATGCCGGGCGCGGTTGCTCATACCTCTAATCCCAGCACCTTGAGAGGCCAAGACGGGTGGATCACCAGAGGTTAGGAGTTTGAGACCAGCCTGGCCAACATGGTGAAACCCCTTCTCTACTAAGAATACAAAAATTAGCCGGGCATGGTGGCACGTGCCTGTAATCTCAACTACTTAGGAGGCTGAGGTAGGAGAATCACTTGAACCCGAGAGGCAGAGGTTGCAGTGAGCCAAGATGGTGCCACTGCACTCCATCCTGGGTGATAGAGCAAGACTCTGGCTTGAAGAAAAAAAGAGTAGAAAAAAGGAAGGAAGGAAAGAAAAAGATGTTGTTGATGCTAGCAAACATGTAGTGTTTTCTGTGTCAAGTTTTGGTGTGTATTAACTCTTTTAATCTTCATAATAATCTTATTAGTTAGATACTATTATTATCCCGTTTTACAAATGAGGACACTGATGCACAAAAATTTGAAAACTTACCCAAGGTTTCTTAGCCAGTAAGTGATGGAGTCAAAATTTGGGATTCAAATCTAGATGTTTTGGTTTCAGAGCACTTGCTCAATCCTGCCTTTCTAAAATAAGACAGACAAATGATGTCAGACAAGTGCCACATTCTAGATTTAATCAAAGCACAGAGAAGACGGATGTTGATACTGCCTGAAGGGTTTAGGGAAGGTTCCCGGAGCACCCTGCGCTCTTCAGGCCCTCCCTCCCTTTCTGGGACTCTGGAGCTTTTTCTCCCACACAGTGGCAGGCCATCTCCCTGACGGTCATCGAGAAGGTCCAGATTGCTGCCATAGTCCTGGGCTCACTCTTCCTGGTCGCCAGCATCTCCTGGCTCATCTGGTCCTCACTCAGCCCTTCAGCCAAGTGGCAACGACAGGATCTGCTCTTTCAGATCTGCTACGGCATGTACGGCTTCATGGATGTCGTCTGCATAGGTGAGGGCACCTCTCTCTCCTTTACCTGCTCCATACCTTCCTCTTACATGCCTGATTCCCCTGCCCATCCCCTGTTTCATGGCCTTATTTTCTGCCATTGAGGGCCTTTAGTGCTATCCTGGTGCACCCCAGCCCTGACTTCCCTGCTTCTCCAGGGCCCTTTGCAAATTTCCTCACTCTGAAGAAATGCTTGCTAAGTACCTCTGGCCATGGTCTAGGCCACAACTGACCCTGGATTTCTTATTCCTATTGCTCAGGTCTCATTGTCCACGAAGGCTCCTCTGTCTACCGCATCTTCAAACGCTGGCAGGCAGTGAATCAGCAGTGGAAGGTCCTGAATTATGACAAGACCAAGGACATAGGAGGAGATGCAGGGGGAGGGATGGCAGGGAAGCCAGGCCCCAGGACCTCACGGACAGGCCCCCCCTCTGGGGCCACCAGCCGCCCTCCAGCTGCTCAGCGCATGCGGACGCTCTTGCCTCAGCGCTGCGGTTATACAATCTTGCACCTCCTGGGACAGCTGCGGCCACCAGATGCCCGTTCCAGCTCACATTCTGGCCGAGAGGTTGTCATGAGGGTCACTACAGTCTGAACTGGACTCCAGGAGCAGGGATCTTGAGTCAATGCATCAGGCAAGGAAGAGCTCTCATGGCTGCTGGAGGTACCAGCTGGACAAGGTGTTTGGGGCATGCTGCCCCCATCACTGAGGATCTCTGTGGGCAGCCTCAAGGTGGAGACATTGTCTGGGCTCTACTGCCCACTGGGTAGAGACACCTGGATGACATTTCAGTCACCACTGACAGATCCTCACACTCATCCAGAGATGGCCAGTGGGCAGGCGGGGAGAGCAGCTTTCGTTCCCTGGAGAGAACCGTCTTTACCTCAGCTCCTAGGGCCTCCAGCCCCCTAGCTCCACCATGGTGACTTGGTGAAGGGGGACCAATGCCAGAAGAAAGGGGCCGTAGTCCCCTATTCCCCAACCCATGGCCACAGGGCATCTGGCAATAAGACTAGTATACATGGACCTCCTGTTCCCTGCATGAGGGCGGGGGACTTCCCCCTGCTCCACCCCCCCATTGCATGGGGGAAGGGCATAAAGAATCATTTATATGCACGTGGAGACTCCTTTCTCATCTGGGGATTTTCTGGAGGGTTGGGAGGTGTGGGGAGGTTTTTCTGCACAGGTTACAAATCCCAAATGCAGCAGTGGGTTCCGAGTTGGAGGTGTGACTCCCACTTGCTGGTGAATAATTCACATTGGCTGCTTGATGGCAGTGCTCCGAGGTATCTAAGGGGTAGACCTGGACTTGCCATCTATGAATTGTGTGATTTAGAAAAAAAAATCTCTCAGCTATGGTTTTCCTGTCTACCTCATAAGGTTGGAATAAGGATAAATGAGGGACAGGTTGGATGCCATTGCAAAGAAAATCAGCAATGACATAAAGAGATTTCTAGACTAGTTGATGGTTCATTTATTTCAAATAGTAGCTGGTATAACAAATTCTAAAATGTGTTTTTCATCTGGAGTTGCATAGAATCTTGGAATTTTGTGTTGAGTGACATAATAGTTATGGAAATATGAGGGGAAATAGACTTTGCAAATGTGAAGCATGGTGGTTTTTTGTAAGAATGAGAACTACTATGACTCTTTAAATATTGGGGCTTGTGGGCTGGGGAAGGTTGGAGCTATCCACCTTGTTCTGGAGATCACCTGGGTTCTATTAGTCCTTCCCAAGTACTGTGCTCACCCAGAAGAGCAGTGTGAAGTGGATTTGGACTCATTTGGAGTGAGATGGAGGGAATCTCCCTCAATGTTATGGGTCTCCAACCCCAGTTTAAGCTATTCCTATAGTAGTTTAGGGTCACAGGTTTGATCCCGGTGTGCCCAGCTAGTGGTATTAATGGATGGCATTCTGTGTGGAGGCAGCAGCATAGAGGACTGTTGTTTATAGAGAAAAGATTTGGGGAGGACTGGTTAAAATGTGGGTCAGCCTGAAGCCTGGGCACTTGCTTCTGTGACCTTGGGGTTGTGTATTATATGAATGATGCTGTTTTTTTAAGTGACCTATTCAGCAATTAAATAATTCCTTCATTCATGGCTAAAGTCAGATCTGGAGGCCTTTCTTATTATTGGTCCTCCTCTCAGGGAAGGTTCTGCTCTGCCTTCTCCTTGGGGATGTTTTGGAGAAAATGCTTCTCTTGTAAAGGCCCACACATATCCTTGCCCTGGAGACCTTGATACCCTCCCCTCTCCCAGAGGGATCTTGGCTGCTGTCCATGGTGCTGGTATCCAGACCCGCCTGGGGTGTAGGAACCAAAGCTGGGCTGGGGTTCGAGTAATTTCAAAGTGTGGAAGTATATCACTTCCAATTTCTGAGGGAGTAGAGTGGATAGGGAACTGAGGCTGAGCCCTCTATCTGCTCAGTAGGAAACTGTTTCTCCCGAGAAAGAACCCTCTATAATCCCCATCTGGGAGATGGAAAGGCCAGACTTTACTGATTTGCCATTCACAGAAGAGCTGGTGGGGACCAAATGGGAGATTGCAAATCAGAGTGACTACTAATACCTATACTGGCAGGTAGGGCTCAGGTAGATAGGACACATATGGAGCTCCCTGTGCCAAACCTTAGCTGTCCTTTGTGATGGTTCTGCGTGGAAGGTTAGACACACCAAAGGAAATAGGCATACTCACGCATACTCTTGTATCCATTTGCACTCTGCGTCCTAAAACAAGGCCAGGTGAAACACTTTCCCCTTTCCTCCTTCAGCACCAATGGAAGTCTCGGTATAGAAGTTGGGGCCGGCAATCAGTATGGTCTCCTCTTCTTCCCTTTTTGCAACTTAAAAAGATCCTTGTCCAGGAAAAGGATCATGGGAACTGCTGCCCTCTTCAAGTGGGCATTCTTACTTGCCCGATAGAAAATAGGGAGTACGAGTGAGCATAATTCTCATCACTGATTACAGGGGAAAGAGTCTGACAGCCAGCTGGGCTTTATTCTTCCTCAAAGCTCAAATCCAAATCTGCTAAAAATTTGGTCATTTAGGTTCAAATTGAGTTTAGTGATAGAGGAATAGGGTGGAGACTGAGTATACAGTAGGGAAGGACTAAAGAAGGGCAGAAAATGCACAAAAACCTTGATCTTTGTACGAGGCCTTGGGTCTCTGCACTGCCCCTCTATAGATCTTGCGTAATTAGATGCCTCCACAGAAGGCCTGGTGGCTAATGGAGTTTCTGTGGTCTGGGAGCCATGTCTAGGCCAGGAGGCTGAGGTGTGGAGGAGTAAGAAGTATGAAGTGAAACCTCCTTCTACACCCAGCTAATTGGAATATAGTGGGGAGTAGGGGAAGGGGGGCAAGCCTTGACATGAGGAGGGTAATCTGGGATGCAGAAGAAACTGCAATGTGCTGAGAGATTTATTTGGATGGAAGATGAGTTAATCTGTATACATCACAAGAGGAGAGCTGTGCCCAGCGTCTGGGGGGCCAGAGAATGCTGACTCAGGGAAACAGGCTCCCTCTGCCCACCGCCCTTATCCTGCCTTTGGTGCCCCAGGGCTTCTGGCCACCCCCACACTTGGCTTTCATTCTGTCTGATTCTACTTCTCTGCTTGTATCCCTTCCACTGAAGGAAATTATCTTGGAACAACTTTTCCAGAGAGGGCAGAGTGACCAATCTAGGACTTCCTTCAATCCTGGCAGTCCAGGTTCCAAAAGCACTTTCCTTGCTAGAGTCAGCATCCTCTGCCCATCTCTGCAAATTCCTAGCTCCCGGACCATTGGTCCATTTTACAGCTTAGCCCCTGCAGTTACTTTTCACCCCCACCCCCTTAGTCTCTTACAGGAAGCCAGACTAGACTTGGCTGCTCCCACTGCAGACAGAAACATGCCTGGGTTTGTGTTACAAACCACTCTACCAGGCATCCAGATGCCCATTTTTTATGAGGGTCACCCCTAGGACCTGAGAAACCATGGAGTGTTAGGGTCTTGCCTCCAGGTTTTGTAGGAAGTGAGAGCGTGAGAGAAATAAGTGAAGGGCAAGAATGAATATTTGATTTTTTTATTCTAAAATGTATGAATATTTAAAATTTTTCAATATAAAAAAGCCAGAGGTCTGGGCAGGGGCAGGACCAAAGATGTCTCTGCCTGAGAACTAAGTGTTAGGGCAGATCCACTTAATAGTGGCCAGAGAGCAAAGGAGAGTTGTAAGAAATTGTGAACCAGGCTAGGGCAGTTTCACCTTCCTAGGGGCAGGACAAAGAAGGAAGGGGGTAGACAGAGCCTGCTAAGCTGCTTATCCCTTCTGCCACATGGTCCAGATTCAATCTAAGAATGTGTATGATATCACCTCGTCAGAGACAGGCCCTGGCAGGAGACATAAAAAACAAATAAGGCTTCACCCTTCCTCTCGAAGAGCTCACATGCAAAGAGGAAGGACCAACCAGGTATCGACCAGATGCAGAGTTACTGAGCTTATGCTGTGATAAATGCTTAGCCAGCAGCATCAATGAACACTGTGGAAGCCCCAAAAGAGTGGCAGTTGAATCTTTCTCAGGCCATCCAGCATTATTAGCTAAAATCTGATTTCATCCTTGGAGGATGCATACATGATCAGAAGGGCTGAGCAAGGAGGGAGACCATGGTATTCTTGGGGCCTACTGAGTCAGGCCAAGTGCATACTTCACACATTGGTCAGGACCGCCTCCAGTACTTTACTGTGGTCATTCTACCCAGTTTGGTCAGATAGACAGGCCTTAGGGGAAGATGTAGCTCTTGGTCTTGTGCCCACAAAAGATCTTGTCCCTATGATGAGGGAAAGGATGATGATGGCAGCCTCTTTCCACAGGACTATCTGTCCAAAAACTGTAGGTTGATGCTACTTTCAGGCACCAGCACAGTCCGGGTCATGGGTCTGATTGGGGCTGCACCTGGCTCAGGCTGCACCTCAAAATGTGTCAGGATCTGAAAAGGGAAGAAGGTGAGCATTACTATGGAAGATATCTATAATGGGAGAATTGATTGGTAAAGGGCATGTATTATTAGTGTTAGAATGGTCAATGATGGAGTGGCACCTGTGGCCAGTAGAGGACTTCTTGGTTAATAAGGGTGAGGGATTATGGTAGGGAAAAAAAGAGTTTGAATACTCTCACTTATACTCCAGGCCTACAGTGGGCTTATCACATTTCAGAAGATTCATTTTACCAGGTCTTACATATTTTCCTGTGTTTGTTAGGGGAAAGAGCTCACAGCTTTAGAGGGTTAGAGTCTTTCCAGAGTCTGGGGAAGGTATAAAACCTGGAACACTCACCTGAGCCAAAGCCATTTGCAATTCAAGCTCTGCCAGGCGTCTCCCCATGCAGCTGCGCTTGCCAAAACCAAAGGGAAGAGATGCAAATGGGTGGGGGGTGGGACCCTCCCCCAGCCATCGGGCTGGACGAAAAGAATTTGGCTCTGGGAACTGGGCAGGGTCCCTTGAAGTGGCATAGTGACACAGAGTGACCAGCGTCTGATGGGAAGGAAAACAAACTTGTCAGTTTGGGCCCAGAATGGGGACAGGCATGAAGAGGAGGATATTCAGACAGGGACAAAGGCAGGTCCTGGTGGGTGATGGGGAAGTTTTTTGGGGCTACTCTTGGAAGGATCTCTCCACTGTCCCATTACATCCGAGAAAGGCATATCCTAGAGAGAGGTCAAGGGAAGTATTTGAAGGGCTTTTGGGAGAGTGTTTGAGAACAGGGGTGAGGCCCAAGATAGTGAGGAATGCCTCAGTAGAAAGGGTGCATAGGCTCTACTCACATTTTTGGGAATAATATAGTCACCCACATGAATATCTTTGTCTGGGACACGAGAATTTCCAGGTACCACAGGGTACAGTCTAGGTTGCAAAGCACAAAATGGACATGGCAAGGTAAGGCTAGGGGCTGCAGCCTCCTTCTCGTTGTTTCCAGCTTCCAAACCCTTTTTGGCCACAAGTAGAGTGCCATTTTTGTCTGCTGTCTCTCCCTGCTTCCATCCACTATTTGCTTCCCCAGCCCTTCCCCGGCATTTCCTCTTGTTCCTCCTCTCCTTCCCGCTCACCTTAGCACTTCCTTGACCACCGCCTTCAGCAGGGGCAGC